AACAGGTGCAAAGTTTTGTGTCTCACCTGTAAAAGTTCCCTTTGTATTTTATTTCAGTTTTGTTATATTTTTCTGATTCTTTGGGATCATTGAATTTAGTACTTATAATAAGTACCGATTAAGCCGACGCTAGGAGCTCGAGAGGTGTTGTATTATCTCATGGACGGACTAAATATTAACATATCTGCACCCATTCATGTCACAGTAATGATGCAGGAACATATACATATGAAGTAAAAGTTTTCTTAGCATGCTATTTTTTACGATATCGAACACAGGACACTATACAACATAAGTATTGGGAAAAGTTTGGTCCTGTATTAAAGAGTATATAAAAGAGTACATTGCTTGACAACAATAAAACTGAAAACTCATAGAATTTGAAATATAAACGGTATTAAATTTGTGTGACGAGGAGTGTTAACTATACACTTGGTCGCGGCATTAAACGGTTTAATTTGTCAGATAACTTTTAGCTAAGAATTTTTTTTATTATCTCATAATCAGGATTTTATTTTTTGGTCACGAGTTTACGCATGGATTCTCATTTTCTATGTAGTATCCCGTGTGGTCGCGAGTGGGCGAGATTCGTTACTTGTTGGCTACGAATTTATAATTGTTACCCTAAGTTAAATCTTGAGGCCAAGAATAAAATAAGTTCGTTTGTTTCTAAATTATATCTCGTAGCCACGGGTAAGCTTGATGTTGTTCAACCTACTTGTTATTCAAATATCTTTTTTTAAGCATGTAAACATGGGAAAAGATATTACATTTCTTGCATCATAGTATAATAACACACGGTTTACTCCTCAAATGCTTTGTAAATAATTTGCTCTCCTGATTATAGTCAGGAACGCATTTGAACTCGATCCGTACATTATACTACAACGATGCATTCAAAATTGATATCTATTTACTAAATATGCAACAATATTTCATATTATGAACAAAAAAGAATTGATATTTGCCTAACTTGAACATTTACAGTTCATCGTTTCAAACAAATTTTATTCCTACATTCATGAAGTAATGTGACGCTTACAGATAATATATACGTTATACCTTGGAATGGTAAACAATTGCTTGACCTAATACAATCTACAATTGTTTGACCTAATACATACTACATCTATTCAAGCAGTACCACAGCACAAGGTAAACACTCAACAATTGCCTGACCCAATGCATTCTACATTTATCCAAGCAATACCAAAGAACATGTAAACTTTCAACAATTTTATTGATCCGATACCTTTTTTAATTTATCTTTGCAGAACCTTAGCTCGTGGTTAGTATTCTACAAATGCCTAATCCAAATACAGGTAACATCTATCTCAGGAGTATCAAAACACGTGGTAAACCTTCAACACTTGCCTGATCCAATATACGCTAAATATATTTGTACGCCGCCCCCATGTAAAGGAGGACATTTGCGCCCTCATCTGTGTTGGATGGGCGAACTTTCAATTGGTACCTCATGATAATTTTGAATATTAGCCCTCTCTGAAATTTTCCATACAGATATAGAAAGAATTCCATGCAAAAACAAAGCACAATATTATAATTTTCAAGCTTTTTTTAATATGCATTCATCTTTCTTTTTTTGTTATAAAACTGTTTAATTAACATTTTTATTATTCTTTTACAATTTAAGTTCATGTATATAATAATGGTTAATTGTTTAAGATCACTGCACAAACTGCTAATTAGTTGTTAATTACGTTTCATCTATTAGTCGGAACATTGATATAAAGTAAACAGACGGCTTCGAAAGAAAAGAGAACAAAATGTGTAGACATTAATTAAAGGACAAATGTCCGCTATCTGATGGGCGGGGGTTGGGATGCCGTCATCAAACCGACAGCAAATCCTTCAAATCATTTAGTTATGACATTATCTGGTAAAAAACTCAAAACAAACGCTGTGGAAGATTAAATCAACCAAAAGACAATATGAATTGAGCAGGGATCTTGTATTGAAATGGCACTTTTCGTTTTCTTACGATCAAGACAGCCTTTAAGACCATATGGTAGAAAGACACCATATGGCGTGAATCTGTCAGGCGCAGGTCAGACGACAGAGAATAAGCTGAGCTATTTGACATCGGATATTTCACTGTACATCGCGCCGGCGACAAAATCTGAAAATAATAAAGTGATACATATATCTTTCCGAAAAATTCATATTCTTATTTATAAGGAATTTACACCAACAGCTTACTGTATTTTGAAAAATAATTGCGAACCATTTTTACATGATATTTAAACTGCTGTATCATGAAAAACCTTTTGTAAGTAAAACTTAAAGCTATCTTTTTATGATTAATTTATCGTCATCGACGTTGTGACAACATTTCGAAAAAAGTGCCATCTGACGCACATGGTGCTTATTCAATAAACGACGTCATGTAGTCAACGACGTTAATAATTCATCAACGACATGCACCGGGAAGACCATAGTAGTTACTATCTTTTGTGTGTAATTACTGATACTGATATTATTTCTGTCTAATATTTTGCAGCAATAAACTTGGCATATTTACAATTATTTTGTTGGTATTTTATCCTGCTACTGTCTATATCATCAGCTGGATAAACTTATCTATCTCCAGTCATTACGTCACATGATGACGTCACATGTTAGCAACAAAACAAAACTGCATAAAGATGCTATTTTATCAGGGAAAAAGAAGAATGAAACAATTTAATTATTCTAAAAAAATGATAAAAAGCAGGATAAATCAAATACATGGTTGATGTCGGGATTCAGAAGGTTTATACGGTTCGCTGCGAAAGTGAATCTTGGCTCAGATACATTTTCTCGCTCACCGGATAAACCTTCTCCATCCAGACATCAACCATGTATTTTACAGCTGTGTACTCGTCGAATGTATTTCACTTTAATTGTACTTTACAATGTATAATACAAACGATATTGAATGAGTTTAGGTTCAATTTTAAATGTATTGGATGACTTGAATAACATTATATTATGCGAGCCTCTGATATACACGATCGTGTAATACGTTTTTACGGAGTCGCAAAAGCGGCACGGATATATGTGATAAAACCTCATACCATTACAGAATAGGATATATAACATATGAGCAGTTATAAAAAACTGTCAACATGCAAGACAATGTATTCCCTCCTTTCGAATTATAATAGTAAAAATTCAGTAATTTATTTTAATTCAATAAAATAGACTGGTTCTTTAATTCAAAAGTTACTTTTGCTTGATTTTCTTTAAGTCGGAAAGAATCGAAAACAATTTGACCATCCAACGTTTGAAGCACATGCGTTGAAATATGCTTATACATAATATAGTAACTAGTGGTCTATGACGGAAATTTAATAACATTATAGTCAATATTTTATGGTATATTAAAAAGTTAAACATGAAATATAAAACTCTGAACAACGAACCCATATTATCATTTAGTAAATAATGTAGATTTAAAACGTTAAGTACTTGCCAGTATAAAAGTATAGAAAATAAATGGGGTGGTAATTACATTTAACCAAAAGAGTAACACAAAAATCGACGCCGACGCCCGGACTAGTATGATAGCTCTCCTGTTTAAACAAATATAATAGTCGAGCTAAACTGTGATGAAATAACAACTGGTCGAATGTCTTCTTCCTCTTTTGAAAGCATATTTATAATTTTCTACTCGTTTAATATGTAAAAAAATATTTGAATCTTTATTAATAGCATTTTTCAACTTTTTGGTCTCCATTGAATCTGATACGCAAATTGCTTATTCAATTCCCCTAATGAAATAAATGGTAGTGTACGCCATTGTATCACAGTATTGAATTTGGAGTGGTATAATTATTTAAACTTGCTATAATAACAGTGGTAGATAACAATAACGAGGAATTAAACTCTTTTAAGCTGTAGTATATTAAAATTTTTAACAGCATTATATTAGGCAAAAATGTTTGATAAAGATCAATTCAATACTATCTTGTTTTTAAATTATGTCCTTTAATGATTATAAAAAGTAACTTTTTTCCCTTCCGATTCAATAACTGACGCAATTTGGTTGCCGGTAATTTCGACTCCCGGTTATGACTTACTTGTTTTTTTGTTTGTTTTTTTTAAAAAGTAGTTTACAAACACAACAGTTGCGTCTTTTTAGAGTCGACTCCGATTCAATTACATGCCAGGCGCAGAGAACCGATATACTATACCGCGGTTATTTTTTGGTTTTATTCGAGTGAAGTATTGAACATGTGATCTCTGTTTTAGTTGAATAACGCGGAACCAGGACTACGGATCCCCTTTGAGCCAGGAAGGTTTGAGTTTATACCATATTATGCAAACCTTTAATTTCTTTTCTTTTTTAAATATAAATAGTGGCTTTATATGAAGCGGAGAAAAATGACGCGAATTTCATGAAAAAGGCATCCCCTCTTAATAAGTGAAGAAATCTTATAAGAGGTTAAAATTAAAAATATCAACATTCTAAAGAAAATTATGTATAAAGTTCAGGTAACGCTTTATTTTGTGTAATTAATGTTGGTAATGCACTAGTCAAGCTTAAATTACTTTATATTTCCATTTTATTACTTTTTTGTTATAAACATGAAATGAACAAACAATTTACTTTTTGTACTTTATCAATATAAATTTTTGACTCAATACTATCTTTTTAATTCTGATAATAGAAGCATACTCTTAAAAGAATCATATGATTTAGAATAGAAGTTTTCATGGATGAATAATTAGTACAACATTATTTCTTTTTAATTGGCAACCACATGTTAAGTACTTGTAAAAATGAATAAAATTCCCGTACACATTGTTATTAGCTTTAAAAATGAATTGAACTTCTTTAAGGATACATAGCTTAATATGTTAAATCTACTAGTCTAATCACATCGATATTCTATTTCTATTGAAAATATAATTTCTATTGAAAATATAATACATGTATAGTCAGAGGTTATTGTGAACGTTAATTAATCAATATTCGATTGGTGAAAACGTAAACAGGGAATTCCCCTTTTAAATCCAACATGTTGAATTTTTCGATAAATTCATTCTTTTCTTTTTATTATTTGGAGAATAGAGAACTATGATAGCAGTTTTACTTTTGGGTAAGTCACGATATTTTACATTTATATTTCTTTACTGATAAACTTTATATTGAGATTTAATCGATCACGGGACTAGAATTTTGATGTAAGATGAGAAAAAATACTTGGTTTCTTTATTGTAGCTTCTTTTCATTTTCAGCGTTCCTGAATGTTTGGATCGTAAGCGGGGGTGGACCGCATTGTAAGCTCATTTATTTGCTTTATATAAATATATTGTTCAATGTTCATACAGCCCCATGTGTAATTAAAACCTAAAAAAAATCACTTATTAACCGGTTATTTGCTTTGATATTTATATCTTTTTTTTAATAATATTAAAATGGGCTTTCCATGGATACAACCATCTGGAATGTGTTTTAGAATGAAATTAAATGATAACATAATGACGTACTTAATTATGATAGCGTTGTTAAAGATGAATAACTGAATCAATGAGATTTTTGATATAACTTTTAGAGCGATGTACCTTGTTTCATCAACAATGCCTTTCAGATTGCGAATTTGCCCACACAAACCACTGCCAAAATGGAGCAACGTGTAATCGCTTTAACAACGGTTATTCTTACTCGTGCACGTGTCAGCCTGGTTTCACGGGAACTAACTGCCAGTCTGTTGGTATGTATCATTTTATAAATATTTATTTTCGGGTTTTCTTTTGCTTGAAAATGACAGGAAATGATATTGGAAGAACTAGGTGATATACTGTTCACGAAGAAAAACAAAAAAAATCAACAACAAAAAACAACAACTTGTCCTAAAAAGGATTATTTGATACAACTTTGAGTGGTATCTTTTGTAAATATTCCATCTGCAAAAAAAAAAAGAACTGTTTATTTCAAGATTAAGGTTTAAGCAGAATCCTTTCTTTTTCAGTGAGTTATTAATTTCTGGCTATATCATTTCATTATGTGATGTGTAATTAAATGTACTTTATAGTTGATTTTCAAACTATTATTTTTAAAACGTTTCCTGCAACGTGCGTAGGATAAATTGACCAGTTCATGTAGGCCACGTTCAACAAATACTTAAAAAGTTTCTGATACACCATCACCCCTCCAAAAAAATTAAAAAAGATATTAAAAATATAAAAAAGAAAATTAAAAAAATTACCAATCTTATGTTTTGCTTTAGACTGCAGTAGTTCTGTGTATTGTAAGAATGGAGGAACATGTTTCACTATAAATGGAGGTAGTGGATATACATGTAACTGTGCCGATGGATGGATGGGTTCTAATTGTGAACAAGTTGGTAAGTCTCATATTTAATTGCACTGGAGAGAATTGAAGACAAACAAATGTTTAAGCGTTCTTTGAAACTAGTATTTCACAATTTAAACAGAACTAAAACATTTATCAAATCAATCAATCAACGTTTTACTTTTCAAAACATAATTAAACTTTTGCTGATAAATTGTAAAATTACAGAAGAATAATTTTCTTTAAACATTGTGTTAATATTTTTATCATGTCGTTCGAATATCAAAGCAAATAGTTTTATCTTTGATTTAGATTGCAGCAGTTCCGTATATTGTAAGAACGGGGGGACATGTTCCACTATAAATGGAGGTACAGATCATTCATGTAGTTGTGCCGAGGGCTGGATGGGTCCTAATTGTGAACAAGTTGGTAAGATATATCACAAAGTTCACGGAATGATATCTCTGGATTTTTATTGCCAAGCATAAAAAAGAATGTAATCGAAAGGATGCTCTTATATTCGTTAAAACAATAAACAAAAACAATATTCATCAAATTAACCAAGTAACCAAGTAGTCATTTTATTTTTAAACGTGAACATTTATAACGAGAACTAATGAGGTACATGTCCTTTTGCTGATAGATTGTAAAACGAAACAACAAAATAATCCGCTTAGATTACTTTCTTTGAATATGTGTATGTACATTGTCAAAATTTGTGTATTTATCATGTCTTTCGATATACATAGCTAATGTTTTATCTCTCTTTCAGATTGCGGCAGTTCCTTATATTGTAAAAATGGAGGAACATGCTCCTCTATAAATGGAGGTACAGAACATTCATGTAACTGTGCCGAGGGATGGATGGGTCCTAATTGTGAACAAGTTGGTAAGTCTCCGGTAGTTTATTTTTGCAATGGCAAAAAAGACAAGATGAAAGTAACGTTACTGAAATGGCATAACAGAAAGGACGAAAGTAATAGGGGTGTTTTGATTTGCTAAAAACATTTTTAGATATAAATATAACTAGAATATTCATCAAAATAATCATTCAAATAGTTTTATTTTTCTAGAACACAAAGTTGTAATAAAGATACTTTTTTTGTATAATTTCAAGACACAAAAAAATTTTCTTTATTGTCTCTTCAAATTTTGGTTATTTGTGTCATGACCTTCGATGCAATACAAAAGCCAAAATTTTTACTCTTTCATGACTGTCAGAAAGTTTCTTAATATTGTAAGATTATGGGGTTACTGTTCTTAAAAATGGAGACAAGAACATTCAGAACATTTCGAGGCGATTCCTAATGGAACATTTGTAAGATTATATACAAAAAATAGAAAAAATTGTGAATTTAATCCATGTTTAAAAAGAATGAAGCGAATGTTGTTTTGTATTCGATTAGCTCTTAGACATGTTCTTTAACAAATTTGTTTTTTTATTTAAAAAAAGAAAAATTGTGATGATTTGCTGATAGAGCACAAATAACAGAACTTAAAACAGCTTAGAACTTTTGTTGAATATTGTATGACAATGTACAAAATTGTATTTAGTCATGACTTTCGATAAAAATATTATGCAAATAGTTTTATCTCTCTTTAAGATTGCAGCAGTTCTTTATATTGTAAAAATGGAGGAACATGTTCCTCTATAAATGGAGGTACAGAACATACATGTAACTGTGCCGATGGCTGGATGGGTTCTAATTGTGAACAAGTTGGTACGTTATATTACAAATTTCACAGGGGAAAAATCTCTGGAAGTTTATTGACAATAAAAAGAATGAAATCGAAAGGTTGCTCTTATATTCGTTAAGCTATAAACACAAATAGTATTTATTTATCAAATTAATCAAGTAGTCCTTTAATTTTAAAACGTGAATATTTTAAAAAAGAACTAATTATGTACATGTACTTTTGCTGATAAATTGTAAAACGAAACAAAATAAACGGCTTACATTTCTTTCTTTGGATATGTGTTTTATCATGTCCTAAATTGTGTATTTATCATGTCGTTTGATATACCAAAGCAAATGTTAATCTCAATTTTAGATTGTAGCAGTTCTTTGTATTGTAAAAATGGAGGAACATGTTCCTCTATAAATGGAGGTACAGAACATTCATGTAACTGTGTCGATGGCTGGATGGGTTCTAGTTGTGAACAAGTTGGTAAGTTTATTGACTTTACTCACAGAAACCCAGAGAATCTCTGGAAATTTATGGCTCACGCATAAAAAGGAATGAAAGCAAAATGTTATTCTTGTGAAAAAGTTAACACACATAATATTTAACAATTAACAAAGTACTCATTTTATTCTTAAACATAAATAATGAAAAGAACTATTTAGGTACATGTACTCTCACCGATAAATTTTTAAACGAAAAAAATAAACGGCTTAGATAACTTTCTTTGAATATGTGTATTTACATGTCTTAAATTGTGTATTTATCATGTCTTTCGATATACCAAAGCAAATGTTTATCTCAATTTTAGATTGTAGCAGTTCTTTGTATTGTAAGAATGGGGGAACATGTTCAACTATAAATGGAGGTACAGAACATTCATGTAACTGTGCCGGTGGCTGGATGGGTTCTAATTGTGAAGAAGTTGGTAAGTTATATTACAAATGTCACAGGGTAAAAATCTCTGGAATGTTATCGAACATGCATAAAAAAGATTGTTATTGCATTGTGTTCGTTAAAAGAATAATTAACAATTTACAAATAATCTCCGGAAGTTTATTTGACAGGCATTAAAAGAATGAAATCGAAAGGTTGCTCTTATATTCGTTAAGACTATCAACACAAATAGAATTTATCAAATAAATCAAGTAGTCCTTTAATTTTAAAACATGAATATTTAAAAAAAAAGAACTATTTAGGTACATGTATTTTTGCTGATAAATTGTAAAACGAACGAAATAAAAAGCTTAGATTTCTTTCTTTGGATATGTGTTTTATCATGTCCTAAATTGTGTATTTATCATGTCGTTTGATATACCAAAGCAAATGTTAATCTCAATTTTAGATTGTAGCAGTTATTTATATTGTAAAAATGGAGGAACATGTTCCTCTATAAATGGAGGTACAGAACATTCATGTAACTGTGCCGATGGCTGGATGGGTTCTAATTGTGAAGAAGTTGGTACGTTATAATATACATTTCACGGAGTAAAATCTCTGGAAATTTATTGAACAAGCATTAAAAAGAATGAAATCGAAAGGCTGCTCTTATATTCGTTAAGACTATCAACACAAATAGTATTAATAAAATTAATCAAGTAGTCCTTTAATTTTAAAACTCGAATTTTTTAAAAAACTTACTAATTAGGTACATGTATTTTTGCTGATAAATTGTAAAACGAACGAAATAAACGGCTTAGATTTCTTTCTTTGGAAATGTGTTTTATCATGTCCTAAATTGTGTATTTATCATGTCGTTTGATATACCAAAGCAAATGTTTATCTCAATTTTAGATTGTAGCAGTTCCTTGTATTGTAAGAATGGGGGAACATGTTCGTCTATAAATGGAGGTACAGAACATTCATGTAACTGTGTCGATGGCTGGATGGGTTCTAATTGTGAACAAGTTGGTAAGTTTATTCACAGAAATCAGAGAGTAAAATCTCTGGAATTTTTTATTGCTATATCACAAAAGAAAGAGTAAAAATATGAAGGTTGTTTTCATGCGTTTTGACAATTAACACCAATGTTATATTTATTACATAAACTAAGAAGGCTTTTTATTTTTAAAGATAAGGAGTACTTTAATATGAAACTTCTTACTAAATAGGTACTTATACTTTAAGTGATTAATCGTAAATTACAAAAAAATAAACTTAGATCATTTAATTCGAAAATTATATACACATATGTAGACTATTCTATTTGTTGTTCGATACACAGAACCAAAATGTTTATTTAAGATTGCAGCAGTTCCTTATATTGCAAGAATGGGGGAACATGTTCAACAATAAATGGAGGTACAGAATATACATGTAAATGTGCCGATGGCTGGATGGGTTCTAACTGTGAACAAGTTGGTAAGTTTATTCACATACAATTAGGGAATAAAGTATCTCGTATCTTTCATGCACTTCCATAAAACTCAGGATGGAAGATGTATACTCTTTTTGCATGCGTTTAACAATAAAACAACAATCGGAGCTCCTCGACCAATATTCATAACAATCTTGGACTTCAAACGGATTTTAGGTAGTTCTATCATGCAGTATTTTATGTAAACAAAGGCGTGATTTTGGATATAGTTTAACGAAAGAATATATTTGACTTTGGAAAGAAAAGAAGTCTGTTCCGGTAAAATTATGATAGATAATATGTCTGATATTCATAATCAATTTAAAAACGCCCACTTACGTACAATTAAATCCAAATCTGAGTTAATGTCAACAGATATACATTTTGTACCTTCGGGGTATACAACCATAAATTGTAAGTATATAAATATTGTACTGTTTACTTTAATATCTGTAGTTTACTTAATTGTATTGATTTAGCATTAAAAACAGTTTCTAAGCGTAGGTTAGACCGAAATACCATATTCAGACTGTGTATTTTGACTAGTGTCTTCGAGGTCCTTATCCAAAGACTGACGGAAAATTAACGATTATTAACACATTTATATGGAAGGATTACTAAGGTACTAAAACCTTTGCTGATGAATTGCAAATTTACAGAAAAGTACGGCGTAGAATGTTTTCTTTGAAAATTGTGATAAGAATTATACACAAACTTGTATTGATCATGCCGTTCAATCAACCGCAGCAAATAGGTTTATTATTTTTAAGATTGTAGCAGTTCTTTATATTGCAAGAATGGGGGAACATGTTCAACTATAAACGGAGGTACAGAACATTCTTGTAACTGTGCTGATGGCTGGATGGGCTCTAATTGTGAACAAGTTGGTAAGTTTCTGAATACTTAATTGTACTGGCAACAAAGAAAAAACTAAAATATTTCAGTATGCTTTAAAACGTGTCTTTTTAGGTTTTAACACAACACATTCAAATTAATTTATTTTTCTTAAAAAATAATGTCAATAAAAAACTTAATAGAAAGTAATTTTTTTTTAATTTTTGTATAATGACAGGAAAACGGACTTTGAATATTTTCTTAAACAATTGTATTTATTTATCCAATTTTTTATTTGTCATGTCGTTCTATAACCGAAGCAAATATTTTTTATCTTTGTTTTAGATTGCAGTAGTTCCTTATATTGTAAAAATGGAGGAACATGTTCGTCTATAAATGGAGGTACAGAACATTCATGTAACTGTGCCGATGGCTGGATGGGTTCTAATTGTGAACAAGTTGGTAAGTCTTGCAAAAGCATTGACGAAATAATCCATGTAAGAATATTGGTTTTTGAATGATATAAAGCAAATCTTGTTAATGTCCTTACACTTTTGCTGATGAATTGAAGAATGAAAAAAAGAGTATTTCCTTATAAAATTGTTTAACATATTATTAATGTCGACCTATATCCCAAAGGGAATACATTTTTTATATTTTAGATTGCAATAGTCCTCTTTATTGTAAAAATGGGGGAACATGTTCCAAGATAAATGGAGGCAAGAGCCATTCTTGTCACTGTGCCGATGGCTGGATGGGATCTAATTGTGAACAAGTTGGTAAGTTTAATGACAAAAATCGGGGAGAAGTGTCTTTTGATTGTTATTTCACTGGCATTAAAAAAAAAGATTAGAAAAAAGGTATAAGTCGCTTTTGCCTGCATTTCACCAGTAAGATCAAATAATATTCACCCAAAGTAAAATAGTTTTTTTCTTAACCATTTACTTTAATACTTGAATACTTAAGCGTGCACTAAATAAATACACGGAATTATTTTCACTAATGACTGTGTTATCAAATATACGTTTTTGTCATGCCAGTCGATTAATCACAGCAAATAGTTTATCCTTTGTTTTAAGATTGCAGCAGTTCTTTGTATTGTAAGAATGGGGGAACATGTTCCACTATAAATGGAGGTACAGAGCATTCTTGTAACTGTGTCAATGGTTGGATGGGTTCTAATTGTGAACAAGTTGGTAAGTCTTTCATAAGCAAAAAACGCATGAATCCAAGTAAGAATGCTATAAAACAAATCTTTCTAAATGTGCTTATACTTTTGCTATTAAAATGAAGAATGACCAAAGATTGTTTCCGTTTAAAATTGTTTTACATATTTCTCATGTCGTTCGATAACCCAAAGCTATTTTTATATCTTAGACTGCAGTAGTCCTCTTTATTGTAAGAATGGAGGAACATGTTCCACTATAAATGGAGGGAGAGGCCATTCTTGTAACTGTGCCGATGGCTGGATGGGATCTAATTGTGAACAAGTTGGTAAGTTTAATGACAAAAATCGGGGAGAAATGTCTTTGGATTTTTATATCAGTGACATAGAAAACAGAAAACATGTTTAATTCGTTTTTGCTTGGTTTTTAACAGTAAGCACAAATAATATCAGAGTTTATTTTCTGAACCATTAACTTTACTACTTAAATACTTAAACTTTTGCTGATTAATTGTTAATACACGTTTTTATATTGAGCATGTCGTTCGATTGATCACAGCAAAAATTTTATCTTTGTTTTAGATTGCAGCAGTTCTTTATATTGCAAGAATGGAGGAACATGTTCCACTATGAATGGAGGTACAGAGCATTCTTGCACTTGTGCCGATGGCTGGATGGGTTCTAATTGTGAACAAGTTGGTAAGTCTTGCTTTAGCATTGACGAAATAATCCAAGTAGGAATATTGGTTTTGGCATGCTATAAAACAAATCTTTCTAAATGTTCTTACTTTTGTTGTTGAATCGAAGAATGACAGAAGATTATTTCTTTTTAATTCTTTTTAACATATTTCTCATGCTTTCCGATAATCCAATGTTGTTTTTTTGATATTTTAGACTGTAATAGTCCTCTTTATTGTAAGAATGGGGGAACATGTTCCACGACAAATGGAGGAAGAAGTCATTCTTGTCAATGTGCCGATGGATGGATGGGGTCTAATTGTGAACAAGTTGGTAAGTTTAATTACAAAAATCTGGGAGAAATATCTTTTAAGTTTGATATTACTGGTATAAAAGTTTGAAAAATATACAAACCGTTCTTGCTCGGGTTTCAACAGTACGCACACATAATATTCATCCAAATTTAAGTTCTTTTTCCTTAACCATTAACTTTACTACTAAGGTACTTAACTTTTGCTGATGAATTGTAAAATGATGAATTGTAAAATGACAGTAATAAACGGACTAAAATTTCAATCATTTATAGCTGTGTTACCAAATACACGTTTTTATATTGATCATGCCGTTCGATTAATCACAACAAATAGTTTTACCTTTGTTTTAGATTGCAGCAGTTCTTTATATTGTAAGAATGGAGGAACATGTTTCTCTATAAATGGAGGTACAGAGCATACTTGTAACTGCGCCGATGGCTGGATGGGTTCTAATTGTGAACAAGTTGGTAAAGTCTTGCACTAACGTAATAAAAGATCCAAGTAAGAATGTTGTTTTGTATAATTAACAACTAATATCTCTAAAAGTTCTTACTTTTGCTGATGAATTGTGGAGTAAAAGAAGATTAATTTTCACAAACTATGTTAACATATCCGAATTTATGTTATTGTCATAGCGTTCGATAACCCAAAGTAAATACTTTTATCTTAACTCTAGATTGCAGTAGTTCGCTTTATTGTAAGAATGGAGGAACATGTTCAACTATCAATGGAGGGAAAGGATATACGTGTAACTGTGCAGATGGATGGATAGGGTCTAATTGTGAACATATTGGTAAGTTTGATTACGACCAAGGTTCAAATTAAAGGCACTGGGTATGTTAGTTCATTGGTACAAGTTGATTTTGTTCCACATTGTCTTACGCCGATTTAAATGGTACGCACATAGCCTTCACACATAGAAAATTCAATGATAACCATCACATATACACCCATTTGCAGATTGTTCTTGCATTTACAATTACTTATCATGAACAGAGTCAATCTAATCGATTTTACAACAATTAATAGACTGATTAAAAGAAAGAAAGTTCAAGGTTGAAAAGCTTTTTATAGACATGAAATAAATTTCTTAAAAACGTATTGAAGTTGTCCTTTAACTTGGGATTTAAAAAAAATAGTATTTTATATGTCACCATAGTTTTAAGTCAAGGTTTTGCTCCAAATTAAAATTTATAAAGAGTTAACGCCATTACTACACTACGAAGACCTTTTATTAATTTTGTCTAATAAGTGGATAATGAATAAAAATAATTACATCGAAAGCCCGGTGGGACAATTTCAACGCATGAATTCCCGATTTCATCTCAGAATTTTTCCGATTTCAACTTCGCGATAATCACGATTTCAAACTTCACGATTCACGATTCCCAACTTCATGAATTCAAATTTCAACTTCATGAATGATGAATTTAAACTTCATCGATTTCAACTTATGTATTCAGATTTAACTTAAAACGAAATTACACCAATTTGTCAGTTGGTTCACGATTTTCAACTTCACGAATTCACATAATTCAGCTTCAATGAAATTCGAACATCGTGAATTCTTTAAATTGAAATCGTTGAATTCTTGTAAGTTGAAATCGTTAAATTACGAAGTTGAATTTATGACAAATTGAAATCGTGAATCGTGAAAGTTAAAATGTGAATCAAAGGTGAATTTAATATGAAGTGACAATCGATAATTTCTTGAACAGAATTGTGAAATCTGATTTCGTAATTCCGTATATTGAAAACCAATTGATGAAGTAAATTGTGAAAAAACATTTTTCGAAGATTGAAATCGAGAATTCATAAAAATTCATGAAGTTGAAATGCTTCTAAGATTTCTGCACTGAATGTATTATATTTTAATCGCAAGCCTTTTTTTCAGATATATTATTTATATTAAAATACGGAACCTTTCTTCTATAAATGGAGGGAAGGAATATACATGCAACTGTGCCGATGGCTGGATGGAATCTAATTGTGAACAGATTGGTAAGTTGAATTTATAAGACTAGAATGGTTTTAGTAAATAACACTGAGTGGGAGTAAAAAAAGGATTGGAGCACCACACTTAATACCGTATTCCGGTATATACCGGACAAGGGACTTGAATAATAAAATGCTAAAATATTGCCTTTTCACCCAGCGGAATGAACTTTAAAAGGTCTTATTCATCTTTTCACACCGATTTATGTATGTTTATGAATGAAAAATGTAAGCAACGGCGAAAAAAAAACAACAAGAACGATATTTGTCTATTTTGTGATCATGATTTCTGCAAGTGTCTATAAGTACTACATTAACTCCGGTCCTGTATATTGAGTTAATTCCAAGAACACTTATCTTATTAACGTTTCGTTTTGAATTGGATTTGTTTGTATACATACATGTATATTTGAAATTTACTTTTAAAATTAGTCAATTTTACAACAAGTACAACCTTTAAAACAGTTAAAACAAATATGTTCATGTGGTCAAGTAGTTGGGAAAAGGCGTAAAATGAAACAAACAAATGTACATTTAATATGTTAAAAGTAGACTGTAAATCAATATTTAACTTTGATACAAGACATTTGGTAAAGAATTTAATCTGATTTTAATATTTTCTCTGTATGAAATGAAAACCATGCTAATTCTGAGTTAAATTGTGCGCATTTTATCCAAAAATATCATTTCTATTACAATGAGGCCGTGATTGTAAAAGAATAAAATAACAATTATAGATATGTCTGGATGCTTTAGAAGATTGTTAAGCATGTGTGCTGAAAAGCTTTTTATATATATAGTTTGATAAGAGCATGTAACAAACAAAATATTATTTATCTTTGTTTCAGATTGCAGTAGTTCTTTATATTGTAAGAATGGAGGAACATGTTCCACTATAAATGGAGGGAGGGAATATACGTGTAACTGTGCAGATGGATGGATGGGATCCAATTGTGAACAAATTGGTAAGTAAATTGTAGAGTAAGAAAAAATAGTTTGTAGCTGCCTTCTTGTATTTGTATTCACAATACACTAAATATTTTACTGGGATTTTTTTATTACTTTTGTTGAATATTCCTTTTTGATTTTCATTTGAAATAATTTTACTGTAGTTTACTTTAAAAAAAATCCCTTCGCATCACATGATTAAAAATATTTGTTGATATTGCGTATTGTGTTTATTGTTTTGGATGTTATTCCTCTATTTGATGAGATATCTTCAAAATCCTCATGTCTTCACACAAATAATGAAAGGAAATAATATAAATAAATCAGTAAATGATTAAATAAATAAATAAATAAATAAATAAATAAATAAATAAATAAATAAATAATATGATTATAATTATAACAATTTAATTATAAACCTCTTTGTTTTTGCATTTTTTATGGCACTACTACTTCATATTGGTTCTGTTATTCTATCTTTTCAATATTTAATAATTTGTTTTTCATTCAACAATACATATATAGCGTCTATTATAAATTATCAGAAAGAAACGACCCTATCTGTTTTTTTAGATTGCAGTAGTGCCTTATATTGTAAAAATGGAGGAACATGTTCAACTATAAATGGAGGGAGGGAATATACGTGTAACTGTGCCGATGGCTGGATGGGTTCAAACTGTGAACAAATCGGTAAGTTTCATAAAGATATTTTCCTCATGTTCTTATGTTAAATGAAATATCAGATATAAAGAAGTTGTAAAAAATATTTGAGTCGGAGAAAAGAACCTCCAAATGTTTTAATACATCGTCATAAACGAAAGTAAGAGTAATATAAAAATGTGCAATGTGCATGCGTTATAAATTCCTTGATATTTAAAAAAAATAAGTTTATCTCTTAAGAAATGCAGCATTCCTTTCACTGATATGTTGTAAATGGTAGAAATAAATTCGCTTGAATCGATTGTGCTTTCAAATTATTTGAAGTTATGTGGTTAGCAAATATTCACAGGTTTTGTTTTGTTTAAGATTGTAGTAGTGCCTTATATTGTAAAAATGGAGGAACATGTTCCACCATAAATGGAGGCAGGGAATATACGTGTAACTGTGCCGATGGTTGGATGGGATTTAATTGTGAACAAATTGGTAAGTTTAATAAAATCAGTCAGGGATAAAAGTTTGAGACTGACTTCATGTATTTGAACAAAACTAAATATGGTTCATGTATTGGCATAGACTATAAATGGAGGTACATGATATTCACGTACCGGCATTTATAGTTAAATGAGATTTTAGTGCAAACAAATTGGTAAGTTGAATAACACAACTCAGAGCGTAGAGTTTCGGGATGAATCCCTTTTTTCTCGTTAGTACAGAAAAACGTATTATAGTAAAGATTCCTTATGAGTATGATGTGTTAATTAAGAAAAACTCTTTTATAAATATGGACTTAGAAATAAAACATTCGAGTCTTGTTCTTGCTAATATCCATTGATAAGTCAAAACACTCGAACGTTTTTAACTTATATTTTACATTTAAGATTGCAGTAGTCCCTTATATTGTAAGAATGGAGGGACATGTTCAACTATAAATGGAGGGAGGGAATATACGTGTAACTGTGCCGATGGCTGGATGGGATCCAATTGTCAACAAATCGGTAAGTTTAATCATATACGTCAGAGAATATAGTTAAATGCTGCCTTCTGTATGTGTACAAAACTTAAAACGTTACTGAGATTTTTTCTTACTTGTGTTGGATAATCTTGTCTACTTTGCTTTTTAAATAATTAAACCTTTTCATTGAAAATATTTGTTAATATTGATTATTGTGTTATTTTAAGTAGGCCTTAGATTTATTTGAAATATAATATTGCATTTTCCCTACAAATATATACCCACAAGAACTTGAAAAGAAATGTAAGAACATAAGTTGATCATTTGACTGCATAAAAGTAACAAAATACGAGGGATGTCCGGAAAGTTCATATACTTCTTCATTTTTTATTGTATAACAATACATCCGTTGTACAAATTTTGTTAGCAAAACTATACATATCCAGCGAACACATTTATCAAAAATTACTGAATTTTGACTTACGTTTGTATTTTAACAGCATTTACATACAACATATATACATCGTCATGGAGCACGTTGACAACGTCAACGGCGTCAATTTAATTTCATGTTTATCCACTATTCAATTTCTTCCGATTTAAACAGCCATGGAACCTGACTGGCGTATACTTAATAAATCTTATGTTCCCTTGCTATTACTTTATGAAATTCATATACTACATTTAAAAAAACAACAACAACAAAGGTGTCACTGGTTCCCATATAGTCTGTGAAATGTCTGTCTTTTTCAAGATTGTTGTAACGCAAATCTACGACATTTCGGCCGTGCTACTTTTGGTCATCCGATACGTTTCTTATACAAAATACTGTCATCACCGCTTCTTAATCGTGTTTGACAATTAAACACAAGTTGCCCTTAACAATTTATGGTTGATTTGGTTTTTCAAGTAAAGATTATAATCATATTAGCGTTGCTTTGAAGTTAAATAACATTACGTTGCTCCGTCCTTGAATTTGACGTCATTTTTGCGACACAAAACTAACGCAACTTCATTGCCTATAATCGTCCTTAACAAGTTGTTTCTTTGCGTATGACGTCGTAATTTTCACTAAATATCACGCAATAGTACCCTTTGATGTCACAACATTAAAACAAGAGTTTGTGTTAAAAATACAACTTTTAGCAACTTTTTATTCGAGTAGCTATTGTCATGAAATCAAAGTGCTCCGTGATTCGTTGATCATGTTGCCATGGTGATTGGCGATTTGCGAATACAACTTTTATCAGGTTTTTTAATTTAGAAATTTGTAGCAAAATACATACTTAAGCAGAATATTTAATCATCATATTAATATCACTGCTTATAATAATTTTATAGCCTTGTCTACGAACTTTCCGGACAGCCCTCGTACTATGCCAAAACTACGACGAGCCGAACTAAAAGTTTAATTTAATTTTAGATTGCAACAGTTCTTTATATTGTAAAAATGGAGGGACATGTTCCACAATAAATGGAGGGAAGGATTATACATGTAACTGCGCCGACGGATGGATGGGATCCAATTGTGAACAAATAGGTAAGTTATATTATATGAGGCAGAAAAAAAGTTTATTGATATGATTTTTATGTGTTACTTCGTTGAAATGATGTGGATTAGTTAAATGTGCATGTGTTAAAACAACCCTTTCAAAATTTAAAAATAAATATAATAATTCTACAATGCATCTCACATTAACTTCTTAACACAACATTTAATATAATACAAAATTACAAAAAAAAATGCCAACTTACTTCTTGTTTTGGTGATACATTGTTAAATACTAGAAGTAGATTAGCTTTAATCGTTTTATAAAAGAACTTTAACGATTCAAAATCATTTTTATTGATCATACCAAACAGTAAGTAATCAGACACACACACTTTAATTTCCCTAATAGATTGCAGTAGCTCCTTATATTGTAAGAATGGAGGTACATGTTCCACTATAAATGGAGGCAGGGAATATACGTGTAACTGTGCCGATGGCTGGATGGGTTCAAACTGTGAACAAATTGGTAAATACTTGGTATTATTGGACAAGTAAATAAATAGTATATCTAGGTGCATTATTGCAAAAAAAAATAATATATTTATATTGTAAAACAGTTCTTCTTTTGATTGTTTGATTTGGTTTATACGTCACACCGACGCAGTGTAGGCAATATGACGACGTTTCAGCTTTACTGGTGGGGGTGGAGGAAGACTTCAAGTGTCATTCCGTCTATTATTTCAGGCACGAACGGGTACTTGAGTAGGACTTCCGACAGCATTTCATCTTCGTAATGTATATGCTATAAAAGTATCAATCAGAGTATACAGTTTCTGGAAGTCTGATTTAAGTTACACTTAACAAGACACAGTTCTGAGAGAGATTACTTCTTTTTATGATCCTACCAATGTATATTTCAGATTGTTCCTACCCTTTGTATTGTCTAAATGGTGGAACTTGTATACCTATAAACAGTGGCTATGATTACTCATGCGCATGTGCATACGGATGGATAGGCTCCAACTGCGAGAATATTGGTAAAATAAATACTAACACTTAACATGATGATTTTTATGATGTATAAAATAAAAGAGGAGTTTGTATATCAAAAAACCCCTTTAGGGTAGTCTGTCCTTTATAAATGAATTTCAATTTATATAGTATAAACAAGTATTCAAGATTTAAAAAGAACGTTAAGGAATTTCAATTCCAGATCATTTAAGTTCTTTTACATTTGGAGTCGCCTATTACAAAAGACATATCCTACCTATGTAAGGTTGGTTTCAAAAATGTGATACCTGGACTACCTTTTCATCTTACAAGATCAACAAACACATGTTTTCGTTCCTTGGATATTTTACGGCATTGCAATTGTAAATAGTAAATTCTGAAGTCTCTACACACTGACACAGTTAAACTCGAAACATCACACAATGAAAATACAATCATTTACTTTTTCAGATGTATGTACCCCATATACAAACGCCGACATAGTTTTTGTTGCCGATGTTTCTAATAGCGAAGGGAGTGGAAGGTTTTTTAAACAGAAACAATTTATTAAAAACTTTGTCTCAAAATTCCCCATTTGACCGCTCGATTATCGATACCAGTTCAGTTTGGTAACATTTTCTTTGGAACCTGTCGTACAGTTTTATTTAGATACCCATCAAGACAACAATACATTATTAGACGCCATCGATGCTATAACAGTCGAAAGTGGAGGACCTAGTTTTACTGGGAAAGCATTAGAGAAAGTAAATAATGAAGTTTTTGATACTGCTAAGGGTGCAAGAGATTCTGTTGAGCATTATGTAATAGTGTTAACTGACGGCCTGTCCTCTGATCCTGTAGATACCGCATTGCAAGCTGCAAATTTAAAAGCAAGAATGGTGAAGATATACGCAATAGCAGTAGGAAATAGCATTTATCATGCCGAATTACTGGGAATGGCTACCTATCCGAAGCATGCGTTCCCGATTCATACACCTGATTCGTTACAAAGCCTTCTAAAATATACAATGTTTGGATGCTCAGGTAAATAATAAAGTAATGCAACCTATTCATTAACACACCTTGGTCAAACTGTTTTGTAGAAAATATTGCTTTCATGTAAGATACATGTATGTATCTTTCAAACTTTACAAAAGGAATGTCAGTACCAAAAAGATGTAATAGAATGGGTAATTTATTTTCACATCCTAAATGGAAATTGGAATATCCTTTTTTAATCACTGAATATAAAAATACAGATTTTTCGCCGATCAGCAGTACTGTGGCATATGAAGATTGCCCTGGTATAGAAATTGTTGCAAATGTCTGCCACTGTTAGTACTGCAACTGTAAGTACTCAAACAACATAGACATGAAAAGATATTTATGTTTTGTGTATGTTTCAGATTGTACAGATAAAGTCACTGATGTCGCTGTTATAATGGACATAAGCGCACGCATTGGTGCGGAGAATCTTAACAAACAAACAGAAGCCGTTGTTCACCTGATTAAACATGCAAACGTTGCCAACAATGCTGTGCAGTTCAGTATAACAACATTTGCTGAACAGTACGAACCACAGGTTGACTTCAACCACTTCTATGATGGACCCTCATTGATAAGTTGGATAAACAGTAACATCAGAATGGTAAAAGAAAGTACTTCAAATATTTCAAGAGCTTTAGAATACATCTCCTCAGATGGATTTACCGCTGTTAAAGGAGCTCGAACAAATTCAAGAAAGGTCGTTATGTTGTTCTCATCGGGCGAAGTAGATGACTTAACATTAGTTAAAGCACAATCAAAATTGCTAAAGGACGCCGGGTATCTGGTGGTAACTGTAGGTATCGGATTAGAGGCTAATTACACTAACTTAATAGAAATATCGTCCGATCCAGCATTTACATTTATACTTGGTGATGAGTTGGAACAAGAAGTTGATAATCTAGAGGCACTTCTTAGCACATTAGAACACAGTCTGTGTTCTCATATATGATATTGAGGTCTTTTAAATGGTGCTGTTTGTTTGTTTTTCATTTCACTTTGGGGAATTCCAATTTCCAGTATCTTTATAGTCAAAACATAGGGTGTCGAATGATGTGTAGCAGTTAAAAAAAGTGTCCCATTCTACATTGCAGTATTATTCTTTTACAATTTCGTCGGGATCATTGATTACAAAACTTGAGGATTGAACACTGCTAAAGCATTGCAGGGAATACTTGAGTATTGAACACCGCTTAAGCCTTGCATTTTTTCTGCAGTGACCTCCTATTTATTTTTATTCGTATTTTATTATATTTATTCAGTATTATTCAGGTTTCTTGCATTTGCTATGTATTTGTTTAAACAACAATATAATTTCAAGTATAAACCATTGAAATCGAAAAAAAATGTGGTCTTTGTAAGCCTTCTAGGCGGTTATTCACAACTTATCATCAGAGATTCTCACGTTTCTTTCTTGACAGACCGTAGAAGTTATTCTTCAAATGATTTTACGGTTCTTCGAGTCCTACATAGATGAATTATATTTTATATCTGTATATAAATACATTTGATCTCTACATATCTTTTTATGCATTAATTTTGAACTATTTTTCAGTTGTTACGTTGAGCTGAATTAGCTATATATTTCACAAGATTGATGACTGTTGTAATAGTAATAATGAAGCATGATAAAATATACGGATACAATATAAAAGCTACCCGACTTTGTAACAAGTTTTTATCAAATGATCGTTATCGACAAATAAACGAAACATATTCATGCCCTACGGCAATTTATAAAACTCTGGAAGAAGGGTGATCCCTCAGAAGCATAAATCACAACAAAATTAAATGAAAATTGCACACTCGGTATGAGAGAGTCAAAACAATCTGGAAACTACTTTGAACATTTGTTCATTAAATTGTTAATAATATGTGTACACCGTCTTCTCTAATCTATTCAATAAAAAGGTGTAATTTCATAGGTTTTCAATGCAAATGTCATTAAGAGGTCATTGTCATAATGCATTATGTCACAACGAAGCTGCTCTACTAACAAACAGTTTTTATTAATTCGGTGCAACTATTGTGTACTGACATACGGACATGTCAGAAAAACTGAAGAGAAACAAAAAGTCCTTATTCTATGCTAAAACAAGTTAGACGGTGACTTTCACTCGGCCAATCTTGCAAATATTGTTCACTTTCTATTCAATTGAGCGCAAGAACAAGTAGACTCGCCTTATACAACAAGAAAAAAGTAAGCGTAATTACTATTTATATGATCGTTTGAAGCCAGGTTGTATACAATCAATAGGTGTACGACTTCTTGTCTGACTTTCATTTCTCTCAAGGGTTTACCTTTATTTTACTAGATTGTTTATACAAATAACAGCGGGTGTCAAGTATTATGTGACAGCTGTAACTTCATCACAGTACTGTTCTGTAAAGATTAAGTTTCGTAATTTTGAATAATTTGTACTTCCATATAGATACACACCTTAATTTTGTATACGCATTTAAAAGCTTAAAAATCTGGTCCTATGGCACCATTATATTTAATGCTTACAATTGAATATTACTTAAGCCAGTGCTTAGGATTGTGAGAGATGTTGCAAATTTTATTGACTTGCGTGAATAGACTTAATCAAATCAAGATTGGGGCTTGACATATTATTTTATCGCACCCTCGATATAAAATCTCCTCCATCCATACACAAATAGTGGATCGGTCTACACAGTGTTCTTAAGTGTTTCAAAATATTGCTTAAATTAATAGAAGTATAACATTTTGATATCAATAAACAGTACTTCTTGAAATAAAAATGTTGATGATGAACATTTTTTTTTTATGATAAACGCTATACTTTGTTATTTGTTCTCAAACAATTACTTATCTGATTTCTATACATGTAGCTATATACAAGGAACTACTTACCTTCCGTTAGCTAAAAACAGAGCTTTCTCAAATAAAAGGTGAGGGGCAAGTGATTTGATGTTGATGGTTATAACCACTCGGTCATGGATGTCCCGATACTTTATATGTGTAGATGCCTAATTTTCAATTTTATAGTTCATATGAATAGGTGCCGATGTTTAAAGATTAAAAGAATAAAAGCGCAAGTTAATGGACTAATGATTAATTACAATTCTAAATGCCTTAATGGGGTAGATTTAAAGCTTACTAAACTTGGACTTATCTTTATGTTTATATACTGTTTAGAATTTAATTATTCTTCAAACGTTGAAGTAATGAAAGACCCTTAGACTCGTTAACAAGCGTTTTTTTTAAGAGCAAATATTAAGAAATTTACATTTTTAAAAAATATCTTTCCGGTTGGCATTAATTAATATTTAACGAGTTATTTTTCAATAAATACCTACTTAGCTCTTTTTACGTAGACACCTAAAAAAACTCATATTTATGACGTATGTAATCTATCAAATATGTTTGAAGCCAAGCGCAACTACCCATGCCCTCCAACACACACAACAACGCACGCGTACAAGTAAACACTATTGATTCAAAAGAAGATCACAATTACTTTAAAGAAAAATTCATTGTTCCAAAACACTATTACTAAGATGAAAGTGCCGCCGGCATATGACCAAAATACTGTTATAACATGGCGATTTTACTGAACAAAAGTAAATTCTAAGCGGAATGAGATAATTTGGAAAATTATGAATAAAAAGACGAAAGTACAACGCTCTCGTGAGGCAGCGCTGGCTCTATTATCGGACAATTGTATCTGTAACCTACATTTCCGAGAACGAAACATAAAAGTAACCATACTGCCCACAGATTCCTGATAACATAGTTCGTTTGTTTTTACGAAACACATACTGTAATTTCCCAATGGTGACCAAGTTTTAATCCACTTGGAGATAACATTGTCACTGTTAAACATGTTTGCAAAGGTAGTATTAATGTAGGAATAATGATCAACTTTAGGTACACTAGTGTGAAAATCACTTCATATACTAAGAAGCTAGTAAAGATAATATTTAAAACATTCTTACTGATTAAAAAGTATGCCCTTTCTCATTTTTATGACTTTGAGAGGGATATTTATTGAAGTGTTTCCCTCCCTTTTCTGTTTCAACTAAACATGTCTGCCCATTTCGTCATATTTTCGGTCATCATGTATGTATGACGAAAACACTTTCAGTATAAACTTTCCCATTGTTATAATAAGTAAAAACACTACAATGCAAAGAACAACTGCTTTTATGAGTTTGATATTCTTCACGATAAATCCAAGCTCCTCTAAATGATCGGTTGACATGGATACATCTGTTGATATTTCCGACGTTGAAAAATTAGAAGGCGGCAACAGGTACGTGACTGTTGTAAATATTGCGTCATTTATGACGTAAGAAATGTTATTGCTAGAAACATTTTTGCTATCTTCCGTGACATGAATTTCAGACATAATTTTACTTTGAAGTATGGTTGTCTTCTTTCGATGCTGTGGCAAGGAATTATATCTCCTTATATGTTTATTACGTCTTTTGATGTTCAGACATTGATCTTTGTCTTTTAGATATTTTCTAAGTGGTGCATTTGCATGTAGTTCTCTCCTCTATCTTAAGACACATAATATCACATGTATTCAAACGCTTCGTTGCAACCTGTAAT